TGTGCAATGCAAAACCGGGCAACCGTCTGCTCTAAACTGAGTAGACGTAGGCTAAGTATCAAACTTAGCTATTCATAAGGCCAATTGCCGGATATATTTTAAACCGCCTGCTCCAACATGAGCAGGCAACAGGCGACGCCCAATTGGGTGAATTCGTCGAAGAGAGCATCTCCCATTTGGGTGGTACATTGTTCTATAAATAATAACTCAAACGGCTTTAACCGACTGTCTAGGTTAAAGATAACGCATGGTTGTTTGAATGATCAATTGAAACCAAGATACAACCGCTGTTGCTTCAAAACAACACAGACGATAATTCAAATCTTGGTCAAATGTAGCCAGTCTTTGCTCAAAAGCATTACAACCGGTTACAAACTTGAATTACGCAAGGTCAAGACCTTAGCATTTAATCCATAACTTGGTTAGGATACATACATTCGACCAATGGCCGCCTGCATACCAACAAACGGCAATGACGGATACCCAAAGGGTAACCCGCAGCCGGTTAAACGAATAATCTAGGTTGGCCCTAGCCGGCACCGTCTGCTAATCCAACTTAGAATAATTCTACTTCTTTAAATACGGTCAATGACCGCCTATCTATCTGTCCGGACGCTTATTTGGATGGCTGCCTCCTTAGAGTTTCATAAAATTAAGCAAACAACCGTTCAGAGGCAGGCAAAGCCAATGCACCCGGCATACCGCACGTATCGAATCAAATTGCAAAAAGAAAAAGATTTGTACGAGCGAAAATTGCAAAAATTGAAGCAAATAATATCAAAGGCAAACCCGACTCAATCGACAAAATATATTGATAAAGTAATTGTCAGCCGGACCTATGTTCGGGGAAGGAGATACATCTAAACTACACGGCTCGCAGGCCGGAAGTAGAAAGAAAGAGAAACAAATAAAGCTATTGATGCTGCTATTGCTGATGCTGAGACGGCTGACCCTGGCCAACAGGAGGAGCATCTTGAGTTTGCTGGGCTTAAGCTTCGTCAGCCCCACCCGGCATTTGATCTTCCGTTTGCTCCTTTTCCTCCTTGGCAATGCCGACCCATTCTTCAAAGGGAGTCGGCTTCTCAGTTCCGAGAACCTGGGCATCAAACACCTTAGTGGTGTATATGTACCGCATCCCCCAAGGCTTTGACATCAGCCTGGAGGTTTTTGACTTAGAGTTCAAAGTCGGCTACCTTCTTTTTAGTCGTATAAGCAGCAACCGTGAGCTCCTTGATTAGCTCCTCCTATTTCATCTCCCGGCTTTTAGTTTGGATTTCATACATTAGGGTGTTATATTGGGTAACATCAATAAGTTCGGTCCTTCTCTAGGCATCCCTTACCTCCTCTTGCTTTTTCCGCAAGGGGACCTTCATTCCGTCTACCCTCAACATCACCTGCAAAGTCAGCCGGAAAGGGGTTAGTTTTCAATTACGCAACAACCAGAAAAAGAATAAAATGGCACAAAAGCACCCCAACCGGTGAATTACCTCAACAAGCAGTGAGTTGATGCGGTCTATGTTGACCTGGTTTATACCCGGTACAGCCTCCTTTTCGGACCGCGTAAGGGTCCTCAACATTCTCTTAGCGTAATTTTGGAGATCCGGCCAAAGAGAAGAGGCATCTGCATCAATAGATTTATTGGTTAAGTACTGAGCATAGGCGGCACCTACATTCTGCCGGCTGCCTGAAGAATCCCTAGATTGGGTAGCTTGGGACTTGACTCGCATAGGCCCAAGCGGCAGGGGGGATCAAAGGTGAGAGTCGTACCTTGACTTTTAGGCTGAGGGGTCACTCCACCCCCAGCCGCATTGGAGCCGGATGCTACAGCAAGCACCTGGCTTGAGGGAACTTCAGGCTCCCTCGTTCTGACTTCAGTCGGCCCTGAGCTAAGGCCAAGATCTTTCAGGCTTTTGCCTGCTGAGGTAGGCCTCTCGGGAGCAGGCAGCCTTCCGGTAGAGGCAGGGTCACCCGGAACCCTTCTTGTTTTGGAAGCAGGCTGGGAGGGCTCCTCTCCCGGTCTCTTCAGCATTTGTCGTAGAGAACAAGGAACATTCTTGCTCCCCGTCTAAAAGAAAAACAACACAGCCGGTTAATATCAAAAATAAGTTTCAAACAATACAAACGGTAATTGAGCTCAACCGGCGCTTACCCCGTCATCTTTGGCCGCCAGTTGGGCCCTCTTTTTCTCCAGTTAATCCTTCCGGATCTCTGCAGCAGACTTAACCGGTGTCTTTTCAGGTGGCACCACTAATCCTTTCTCTGCAAGGAAGAAAAATCAAAAAGTTAAAATCCATTCAAGCATGATATAGACGGCATAGATTGCGGTTAACAATCAACATACGTCTGCTCCACATTGTGCTTAGGCCGCAGGCGGAAAGGAATGCCTCGTCCTTTAGCCAGTCCAGATGAGGGACCCAGTTTTTGGGGACAATGACTTCTGTCCCATCATCCAAAGGCAAGGAGGTCTTTTTGAAGAGACCCGTCTCCATGATTTGATCCTAAGCCTCCTCCGGTACTTTAGGAAGGGCACACTTTTTTCAAAGGAGAGTCGAGTGTGTGTTGCAGCGACGCAGACGGTGGTTTAGTTGCAGCGAGGGGGAAGAAACCATGTAAAACTTGCACTTCCAGCTGCTCTACTTAGACGGCTTGTCAAGCGTCATCATCATAAATTCCGGGTGCGTGGTCAATGTATACCACGCATTCTAGCCGCCTGGGGCACGGCTAAGGTAGTTCATATGTGCAAACGCCTCCCAACTAGGTGTTATGTGCTGCATCTCGCAGGCGGCTACGTATCCTAGTATATTCACCCAAGAGTTGGGTGTCAGCTGCCAGACGCCAAGGTCGTAACCCCTTAGAATGGTTTTTATTGTATTATGGAGGGGGAACCGAAGGCCGACTTTGAATGCCGTCTCATAGCAGCCGAAATAATCATCGTCATGATCTAGGTCGTCATCCTAAACGACGGATGCCTCTACAGGCAGCGCAACAATCTCCCATCCCTTCCCAACCGGGCACTTTTCCAAAAATGCGGGAAGGGTGGCATTTAGAGTGACCACATTCCGGGCGGTCATGTGCGCCTCTATTGGATTGTTGATAGAGGGCCACTTATATGCCTCCTCATCCTCTCGAGGGGCATCCGGTTCCATAGTTGACTCAGTAGAGTCTGATTGCAGGACGGTCTCTTTGCCGTCCGTACTCTCGGATTCGTCCAAGATATCATCTCCAGGCGATCCAGGTACGCCTAGCTGGTCATAAGGTACAAAGTCATCCGGAACTTCTGCTGAGCCGTCTGACTGGTATTCGGGGTCTACAGCGGTCTGTCTCGTCCGAGCCATTATGTCCTTCACATGAACAGAGACGGTCGTATTTGCAGAAGAGTAAGGGTGGTCCAAACACCCCCAGACGGCATACCCAGTCCTAGACTCAGCCGTATCCGGTGACTGGCTGACAACTGCCCTAGTTTGTGCCGTGTGTGTGTTGGTTGAGTCCATTATTCTTTACAAGCTATACAACCGGAAAAAGCACAAAAAAATTACAAGGGGTAGAGACGGTACCTTGAAGTTGTAAAAAATCTGAAAATGGTTGACTCCTTGAAGTCAGCAACCGGAAATCCTTTTTGTTGCTTGATGATACTCCAGACGGTATCCCGGATGTACCTCTTTGAAGAGCAACTGAATCTCACTGAAGACCCAGACGTTTTTCTGAAAATTTGCCTGAAGATACCCCAGACGATTGAGACCGGCTGTGGGTGTATTGGAAGCTAGAGAAAGGTCAAAGGGTTCTCAAGCGATCTGAAGGAAATTTGCTTGAAGATGCCCCTGTGACCGTCTGTGTGTATATTGAGAGCTAAGGGAAGGAATTTAAGTATGGTCAGACGGTTCGTATGAGCTTCGAGTAAAGAGTACTCAGACGGCGACCGGATGAGTGAAGAAAGAGGATGGTTTTGAATGAAATAGCAGGCGGTATCAGACCGTTCTCTCAGAAAATTCTCTCAAAAGCTAAAATTTACAAAGTGTGAAAATGAGAGGGGGAGGGTTTCTACTTATAAAAGAACCCAGAAGGCGAACCGTCACCCCCCTATTCAAATTCAAAATTCGAATTCAAAAAAAAAAAAAAAAAGAGAGGAGGGAAGGAAACGAACGTTACCTTCCCAGAATGTGACACCTGTCACAGGTGCCACGTGGCAAGCCACGTCACACCTATGAGGGGAAAATGTTTAGGGTAAAAATACCTTGTCCACGTGGTCCAATAGCATGCTGACACGTGTTAGCCTCAGAGAGACCCAAGGGGATCCAATCCTCTACTTACACGTGGCACCTTAACCCTAAAAGGGGAACTGATCCCCTTCCACTATAAATAGAGGAAAATCCTCATTTATTATACATTCATAAATATACACACAAAACCCGAGCAATATTAATTGCAGAATTCTCTGTGAATCAGAGAGAAAAACCTTTACATTCCGCACTTTATTACATCCGGAAACGTTCTAACTTGATCGTCGGAGGCGGAACTCCACCCAACCGGAGTTTCCGTGGTTTTGTAGGTACGGACGGTCAACGCGCATTCTCGGAATTGTAACTCTCCCGAGGGACTTCAAAAACCCCAAAACAGACTGACCCGAGTCCATATAACTTGATATCGGCACCGATACCATCCCATACACTGATGACAGGAAAAGATAGGAGCTAGTAAAATGTACTATTTGACAAAAATTTACTTGTATTGATAATGCTATTACTATTAATAATTTTGAGAAAGACTAATATTTTGATTTAAATGTCGTGCAGATGATAAAGAAAATCTTAGTAATATCTAAGCTAGTTTTTACTAATTGACTAATAGCAACAAATAGCAATGCCAAATTTTATTTATACGACTACATCAACGAACATGTATAATCAAAATGGAATAATTGAATGAAAACAGATGAAGCTTTCTATAAATTATCTAGACAGCTTTCTATAAATTATCTAGACATCATTATATATGTCAACCTTTTGGATTCTCATCTATAGCACTATATGATAAAGTGAGTGATTACTATAAGTTTTAGGTACAATATGTCTTATCTATCTTCCTTACCAAAGATTTATCTTAATCAACGCTTAATTTAGGGAGGAAATTCTCTGAATGAAAATGGAGCATTGCCACCAAACAACTTATGTGCCAAAGGTGAATTTAGGCAGCCAAGGATTAGAGGTAACCTTCTCTCATGCATAACTTATTCAACTGTTATCTAGCAATATTATGCTTTCTTGTTTTATTATTTTATATTTTTTAAAAAAAACATTTTATATTTTATTTTGTTTTTCCTTTGACATCACAATTTGTTTACTACTACTTTTATTTTATTCTACTGATTGATATTCCTGTTTAGCTAAATTGAGAAAATATTTATGTCTACTCAATTTAGATTTGAAGTTTTCTTAAACTTCCTACTTTTGTTCTAGAGGAAGATTCGATCCTCAACTAATTTGTCTTGATTATTAGTTTTTTTTTTTTTTCCCCTTGATTATTTTTCTTGATTATTAGTCTATTGTAATAGTCGCAATTTTTATTGGACATTTTGAATCATGGGAATGACGCAAGTGTAAAATAAAATCTCTCAAAGAATCGAATTATGAAAAATTGAATGAAATTTTAAGATTGAATTTATCAAAGCACATCTTTGGTAAATTTTATTCGCTTGAAAGATGAATTGGTTCCATAATTGTAATACAAGCAAGATTAGTTAGATTGGCTGTTTTTTTATTGAAAATGTTGATGTTTACATAGGTGAAATATTCACATTATACTTCCTCCATTACGCATTATGTGCAACATTTGTAAAAAAGGAAAACTACAAATTATGGACAACAAACTTTTTCTTTCTTTTTTGGTAAGTTCTTTTAAATGAAATTACTATAATACCCCCTGTTTAAGAACTAATAGCACTATTTTAGATACTAATTTAAATTAATTAGATTACTTAACATTAATAATTAAAAGGAAAAATTCATGGCAATAATCCGATCTTTAGCTCATTATTTTTTAATAATCCGACCTTTGGGGGTCTTTAATTTTTATTGGTCCCATTTGACCAGAAACCGGTAGAAGAGGTAATTTTTCTTTTTTTTTTAAGTTTAATTGACACGTGTCACAATTTGATTTGTCTAAATTTAAAAATAAAAAAAAATAAAAAATAAAAAAAAAAACCCACAGCCCTGCCACCACCTTCCCCACCACCCCTGCCACCATTCACGCAGCACCCCCAGCCCTCTCCTCCTCCCCTTCACGCAGCACCCCACAACCCTGCCACCACCTTCCCCATCACCCCTGCCACCAATCACGCAGCACCCCTCCAGCCCTCTCCTCCTCACTTTCACGCAGCAACCCCCCCCCAGCCTAGAAATCGGTCGGCATCCAGCTCACCCACCGCCGGCCGAGCCACCCGCAATTACTCCGACCTCCCCTTAACCGTCGCCCCACCCATCCAAACGAACCCTAACCCGCGAAAACCGCAACCAACCTCCACCTTCTCTCACCGCAAACCCTTCCCGACCACCGCAGCCCCGAAACCACCCTTACCATGTTTTCCGGCCCCCATAAACCGTATTCCCCCACCTAACACCACCAAATGGGCTGATGTGGTGGCATTGAGGGAGCAGGCTGTGCGTGAGGGAGATACGGGGGTGGGGTTGTTCGGTGCTGGTAGGGCAAGAGCAAGGGGAGAGGGAAGGGGAGGGAGGGGGAGAGGGAAGGGGAGGTAGGCAGGCGCGTCTGCCGGAGCAAGTACCGGCGGCAGGGGGCTGGCCTCGCTGGTGGCTGGACTGGCTCCCTGGTGGCTGGCTATTTAATTTTTTTTTTCTGGTTTTTTGTTTTTGTTTTTTTTTTTGACCAATCATAGGCCGACACGTGTCATGTAACCTGTTATAATAGGTTACATGACCGGTTGGGACCAATAAAAATTAAAGACCCCCAAAGGTCGGATTATTAAATAATAATCGAAAGGTCGAATTATTAAAAAAGAATGTGCTAAAGGTCGGATTATTGCCATGAATTTTTCCTAATTAAAAACCCCTTCTTTCCCCTGCCACCATTATCACCGACCACCACCATCATCACCGACCACCCACAAGAACCACCGTATCGACACCTTCGACACCAGATCACCGACACCTTCGACACCAAATCGAAACGAAAGAGAGAGAGAGAATTGGGTGTACGATTTCGCTGGTGGATTTCAGATCTAAGATCGCATATCTAAAGCCGGTGGATTTCGCTGGTACGGTTTCACGTTGTGGTGCTGGTGGATTTCGCTGGTACGGTTTCGCGTTTTCGTGGTAGATTTCGCTGGTGGTGGGGGTTTCAGGATTTCGCTGGTGGTTTCGCATTGTGGTGTTGGTGGTCGGGGTTTCGGGATTTCACTGGTGGATTTCGGAGTTTCTAGTGGTGGTCGGGGTTTCAAAGTTTCATTGGTGGAGTTTCTGGTAGTGGTCTTTTCTGGTGGTGGTGGTGGATTTGCGGGGTTTCTGGTGGTGGTCGGGGTTTCGGGATTTTGCTTGTGGAGTTTGTGGTGGTGGTCGTAGTCAGGATTTCGGAGTTTCTGGTGGTGGAGTTTCTGGTTGTGGTGCTGGTGATGGGGTTTCACGTGGAGTACCGATATAATAGTGGTGGTGGAGGGTGTTAGTTGGTGGTGATGTGGTGGATTATTAGTCATACCACTATATCTCCTGCACATAATCACTTACCCTTCAATCTTACTAATTAAGGCTTAATATCTTTTGTCTTGGAGTCCGTGTCAACCTATTTGTTGCAGATAATACGTAACGGAGGAAGTATATAAAATTTGTTCTTTGAGGGAATTTTTTTTTATTTTTCCGTATACTCCTATGGTCTCGAATATTTGCAACACTTGAATTTGCACATAATTATAGGAAAGATAGTGTGTGATACAGGAAAGTGAAAAAAAAACTATTACCCTCATTTTATAATTTTCGCAACATCTAATGTTTGCACAAGAATTAAGAAAGGGGAGAGAGTGTAAAAAGGTGGGTGGATGTAAGGAAAAAAAATGAATATAGTAAGCAAGTGTGTAAAAGGTAGGCAGGTGTAAGAAAATGATGAATAAAATCTAAGTGAGTGGAAAGAGATAAATATTATGGGTTAAGAGGTAAGGTGGTAAAAAAGGACTTTTAAAAATGAAATAAAATAAAGGAAATTTTGACTTTTGATACCACAAAAACACATCGTTTTCAATTTTGCTACTTCTCAAATTTTTTATTTTATTTTACTACCACCTAAAATCACATAATTTAAATTTCAGTACCACTTAACGGAATTCGTTAGAGTTCCGTTAAGTTTATTCAAAAAAAAAAAAAAAAAAACCAGCCACCCTCAACTGCCCCCCCTCTCGTCAGCCACCCTCCCCCCTGCCGGCGGCCAAAGCTTGGGCCAACGCCGGCGACTCCACCCCAATCTCTTTCCCCCAACTACGCAGCCACCCCCTCCCTTTTCCCCTACTTGCTGCCCCGACCCCCACCCCAAACCGGAAACCACCCCCCTCCCCATTCGCCCCACCGGAATCGGCCCCCCTCCCCATTCCCCCACCGAAATCGACCCCCCTCCCCTTCCCCTACCCTTTTCGGCCACCCTAAACGTTTTCGATCTCCAGCGACCCCTCGAAACCCCAACCACCCCACCCTCGGAACTCTCACCGTCGCCGGAATTGGGGTTATGGGGTAGGTTTGCATCGATTTTGGGGAGTGGCAGAGGAAGGGGAGATGCGGGCCAGGTGGTTGGGGGGTGGAGGGGGAGTGGCAGGGGAAGGGGAGATGTGGGCCAGGTGGCTGGGGGTGGAGGGGGAGTGGCAAGGGAAGGGGATTGGTGGCTGGGGAAGGAGGAGAGAGAGAGGCAGGGTTGAAGTGGGGCCCACAAACGGCAAAATTAACAACTTCCGTCAACTGGTAGCGAAGTTTAAAATATGTGATTTTTGGTGGTAGTAAAATAAAAAAAAATAAAAAATTGAGGGGTAGCAAAATTGAAAACGATGTGTTTTTGTGGTATCAAAAGTCAAAATTTCCTAAAATAAATACGTTCAACAAAAGTGGATACAAACGGAATGTGTTAAAAATATTATGAAACGAAGGCAATAATATGTAAGTAAAGTTTATTTTTGATTGTTTATAAGAGAAGGAAGCAACTAAAATTAGTGCAAGTGGGGTTAGTGTAAAAGATAAACAATAACAAATTAATACAAATAGGCTACTAAAAGAGAAAGAATATAAGGGCCACATGCCAATATGAAGTGTAAAATATATTGAGAATGGACAGAAGACAAGTGTTGCAAGTATTTAGGAACAGAGGCAAAATAATATTTTGGGAGGAATTCCAAAATCAATGAAGTATATAAACATGTGAATTTTTATAACAATGACAATTCAAAAGCGTGAAAATATAGTTTTCAATATACTTCATAAAGTAGTCCCCTTGTTTACCTTGAAATCTTTAAAGTAATCATCACGTAGTCATTAATTACAAAAATGTCACTGTTCATGCAAAAAATGAAGACAACCAATTGATACTTTATTGCCTGGGGTTTAGAGTGTCATAGTACTATCTCCCCTCAGGAGTTACTTACCTCATGGGAAGACTTCACTAACATATGATTAATTTATGTGCAAAATACCAAAATACCAGAATTTTCATAGGCAAATTACAAATGAAGTTGGTAAACAAGATCAATTCACTGACATTCAAATTCAAAGGCAAGCAGATTTGAGCTAGTAGATTACAACATAAACATATACATATACTTTCTTCAATGCACCAAATTACCAAATAAACTAAGCTAGACTAATCTATGCCTCTTAGCCTAGATATTAAGCGCTAGCACTGTGAAAAAGCTTGTATTAATTGCTAAGAGAAGTTATGTGATGTTGTTCCTCCTGATTCTGGCTTTGTTTCTACTTATAGACCCCTGGTCTGCTAGTTTTCACATTCATTCCCCTTTCCGGCAACTGTAGTCATGCCATATTAAGCACTCCAAGGCTGAAAAATAAATAAAAAAATGCCTGTAACAACTTAATTTTGGTTATAAGTTTATGATATGAAGTGATTCTTTTTTTTTTTTTTTTTTTTTCAATTTAGTCATCATCATGTACAGGAAGTTTTTGGGTTTTCAAGAGGAAATTTGAAAAGAATAAAAACACATGAGATTGGACTCTTTGACTCTACTACACATGGTGATAGTTTGATACTCATTTTTAGTTGCAGATTTTGGATTAGGGTTACAATGAAAAGAATGAGATCATGTTTGACAAGATACGTTATGTATGTTAGGTTTCTCGGGTAGGCTTTGGTTGCGGAGGACTGACTGGTGTATACAATTCACCTCTCCCACATGAAGAAGGAATTTCACTTATCAAGCAAGCATTTAATAGGGGAATCACATTCTTTGACACTTCAGATCTGTATGGTGATAACTACGACAATGAGATAATGGTTAGCAAGGTAACACTTCAGTTTACCTATTTTAAGCCTTATTCAAAGTACTACTGCTTGAGAAATGTTGCACACTTAATGAGTTAATTCCGATCATCAGGAATTCCAGTCATTAGTGTTTCTTTTCATTCGGAATTAATATCAAACTTATACTATGGTAATGAATTATGATAAGATTTTTCATAGTATGCCACTAATGAAACTAAGTGATAGGTAGGGAGATGATTTAGAGTTAACAACACTATTATAGAGTGTCTTTTAGTTATATCAAATCCTTTATAATGAGAGGTTCGGACAATGTGACAAGTTGATAACTAATTCACAATAAATGTAGTGTACCTTTTGATTCATCTCGCTAAACTCAGAGAAAGTTTCCTTTGTAATTTACATTTCAAATTTCAAAAATATATGTTGCATCTGCAGGCCTTGAAGCAGCTTCCTCGAGCAAAGATTCAATTAGCAACTAAATTTGGTTGCTTATGGTTGGAAAATGGACAATTTGGTGCAAAGGGTACCCCTGAATATGTTAGAAAAAGCTGTGAAGGTAGCCTTAAACGGCTTGGCGTAGATTACATTGATCTCTACTATCAACATCGTGTGGACACAACTGTGCCTATAGAACAGACTGTATGCTTCACTTTCTGTAGCTTTTGAATTCAATATATGTACGAAGCTTGTAGTTGATATTTAGTGGATGACCCAGATGAAAAAAAAATGCAGATGGGTGAGCTTAAGAATCTCGTAGAGGAAGGAAAGATCAGGTACATTGGATTATCTGAAGCTAGTGCAGACACTATCAGAAGAGCACACATTGTCTATCCTATAACTGCTGTGCAGATGGAGTATTCTCTCTGGTGTCGAGAAATAGAAGAAGATATAATTCCCCTTTGCAGGTTAGTTTATACGAGTGGCATATACTTCTTCCGTACAAAATAATCTGTCACATCATTTAATGTTATTACTCTCTAGTATGTTGCTGCAAGAACGATTGTTTTTCACTAGGTTGGTCGTAAAGTTGAGGGTTTGCAATAATGCATCACTCTCTTGAATCCAGGGAGCTTGGAATTGGTATAGTTACATATAGCCCTCTTGGACGCGGATTTTTCGGAGGAAAGGCTGTAGTTGAGAGTTTACATTCAGAAAGCTTTTTGGTAAGTAAATCCAAGGTGTTTCTGTCTGAGTTCAGAAACTATATCGTTTAGGATAAAGTCCTTATGTATCTGAGGAACCTAGCTGCTTATATAACCTAATTGGTAAAAAAAATTTGAGCCTCTATAGCCTCATTATGATGTATGCTGATTTAAAGTTTATTTCCGGTGCAAATGAACTCGACAAATAACTGATAGGTTATTTGTTTTACTATCCAAAATCAGTTATTTGTTTTACTATCCAAAAATATACATTTTTTTTTTTAATTTATGATAAAAAATTTTACATCTGTGGTCAGAATAATTTCTATTCCTATAAAGTAATTATGCTGTCAGATTTTTATACTCATGCTGTAGTACTGACTAGTTATATCCGTTCAACATAGAATGGACACCCGAGGTTCATTGGTGAGAACCTAGAGAAGAATAAGTTACTTTATAACCGCCTCGCTGCTTTATCAACAAGGCATTCTTGTTGCCCTGCACAGCTAGCTTTAGCTTGGTTATTTCATCAAGGAGATGACATAGTGCCAATACCAGGTACATTTTGCTTACTCTGTTGTACCATAGCATAACATAAAATAGAAACAGGTGTTTAATGAGTTCATTAGATCTCGGCCATAAGATCTCATTATATACTGATTCTGCTAAAATGTGATTTTGTATACATTTATTTGGTTTCAGTTTACTTCCTACGTACAATGTAAGTTGTCACATACCAACTTTGCATAACAAAGAATCACTCTATAAGACGTCTAGAGAAATTCGATCATGAAACCTTTAGTTAGGAATGGCAACAATTTTATGAACATGGTAAATGAGAGTAAATTCTTACTTTGATTTCTTTCAGGAACTACCAAACTGAAAAATCTTATCACCAATATAGAGTCACTGAAAGTAAAGTTAAGTACAGATGATCTGAAAGAAATTTCAGAAGCAATTCCAGTTAATGAGGTCAGTGGAGAGCGAGATCCAGACGTCCTGGCAAAGTTGTCTTACAAATTTGCTGATACCCCTGTTATATGATGCAACTCAATAGCTGGGTTTGGACTATAAATTAGCTATGCTGTGTATTTTCTTTGTCCACAAACGTTGAGCTTTGTAATTTGAGTGCACCATCCTCTAATTATGAAAGGTACAGGATTGGCAAAGAAAAATGTATACTATAATACCACTTCCTGTTCCCAAACTAAAAGCATAATTAATAAATTTTAGGGTCAAGCAGTGTATGCAATAATAAAGGCCATTTTCTTAATTTTCAGCTGTTGTTATATTGCGGCATACGAATTATAGATTTTTTTTAGCAAATTGAACTACCCAGCAGTCGATTGTAAAACTAGGCCTTGATATAGAATGATAACATACAGCTCCCGAACACTAATATTGAACCAAAAATTAGTCACGCTTATATAGGAGTAGAATCAATATATTTGAGAGCATTTATTCTATAAGAAATATTACATAGCATCATTCACATATGCCCATACTATAGGAAGGCCCTTTATATTACTCCAACATATGGACAGAAAGAATAAGAAGAATTACACATTCTCTCCTAATACATCTATATTTACATTCGTATAATCTCACTTCAAAATATAAACCCCCAGTCTTCATCTGCTAAGGGTCAAGCTCAACTTCCTGCGCGCTCAACTCTCCATCACGATTTTTATGATCTCCTTCACCACTATAAGCAGTCTGCTCCATGAAAATTGTAATAAATATCTCACATGACAGGGTGAAATTGAAAGGATTTTCAAGTTTCTTCTTTTTTTGCCCTCATTTTAGGGTTACAGAAAGTTTACCTCTCTAGGCAAATCCACTGAAAACAAGTTTATTTTGCTGGGACTGAAAGCAAATCCACTGCAGGACATATTGCCATGTTAGTATGATAATACATAGCAAATACTTTACAGCAAAAATTAATGGTTGAGTACCCAGATCATCTCTTCTGTAAATTTACTCAAAGAAAATGAAAAACTCAGACTTTGCAGTTAACATGCTAAGTTTTTAAGATGACACAAACTCTGGAATTCTGTACATGATGCTAATTTAATAGTTGTTTTACTTATTCAATTAATTTGTGTTTACATTTCATTCTTTATTTTTCGATCTTAGGCATTCTTATAGACAATTTTTTTATTACCTTTACGTTTTTTTATAAAAAAAACATGCTCAACACCTGACACTATTATTTAACAAATCATCACCTAAACATATGGAGCTGCTAGATCTTGCTAATCCATAATAACGGAAATTAAGTGTTTTAAATTCAGAATCACTAATTTCAGTCGATTCAGATATTAACATATATAGTACTTGTCCAAAAGACTCACTTGTTTCTTTTAGTCGGTGTAGTTCCACTTAGTGCATAGTTTCCAATGCACAAATTTAAGCTTAAATATGCAAAAATTATTATTTTAAAAAAATAATAAAATAAATAACTTAAGGGAAAAATTGACGCAACCAGTCCTAACTTCGACATTCTTCTTTAAAAGATTCAAAAAAGGACTAACAAAAGAAACGGGAGTATATCCTAGAAAGACAGAGAATACCATTTAGCTACAGCAAGCTGCCACACATATGGAATGAAGAACTCTTCAGGATGGCTTTCTTGTTCATAAGTGAAACGCAATTGAGTGAACATCTGGTGAAAAAAAATAAATGTGAGGGTCGACAGAAAACTTGTAATCAACATATCTTCTAAAGATAGATGAAAAAGAACAGGAAAATGTTTGTAATTGGACCTTCATTCCTTCCCCACGCCAGGATTTACAATTGTTGGTTATAACCTGAAGCACCTTTTCCACAGACCATTCCCCATCTAACTCTTGAGCATCCATTCGAGTGTTGAAGAAATCTAAAACCTAAATATTGAAAAGAATAACACATTGTATCACATAGCAAGCTGCATCACCTGAAGAGGATTCTTTTATGCAGAAGATGAACACACTTTGTGACAGAAGAATAAAATCTGAAGTAAAGAATTTTGCTAACTCATCAAACTTACAGTAAATATATTTTCAAGCAGTTCATTAAATCTGGGATGATTCCTGAAGGGCTGAAATATCTCCTGTCTGTGCATCACCGCATAAACAACCTGAACAGATACACATAATTTGCAACAGTAAGGAAATGAAAAGTCACTATTATTGCTAATTACGGATTTAAGAATCTAGTACACTATACCTCTGGATTCCGTGGCAGAGCATACGTCAGAATTGCATTTATTATTTCCAGAACAATCCGCAAGAAATCAGTATAAATATGCAGCTCCATGGACTGTGACAAATTTCACCCTTTTAACAACATACCATACCATACAGCTCACAGGCACAAGCTATATTAAGTATTACAGAGCCATGTCACAACCAAATTCAACAATTACCACATCTTCCAACATGTTGTCGCCTTCCGTGGAGTTTACTTTATTTATTTGCATCTTATCATTTTGCAGCTCTGCTAACTTGGTGTACCTGGTTGCATTTCATATGTTAACAAGCATACAAATTACAAAAACTTATAGGTACATCCAGTGTACAGTAATATTACAGTAGACTGGCCAATTTTAGGGCAACTTTTTAGCAGTTTTGGGGTAACTTTTAACCTTTTCTCAGGATAACTTCCAGCCCGTTATAATTTTTAGTGAACAATAAGAGGTGATTTTGAGAGAAATGTTTTACAAAGGTTAATATAGTTACCTTTATACATTAGGAATATTATTTACATGGTAAAATATTGGAGAGAGCATTTTATTGATACTAAATAGAACTTTAGATTATTTTAGTATAACTTTACACCTGACGTACAATACTTATTGTACACCTACCTTATTTTAAAGTTCATCACTAAAGCCAGTTCACTAATAAAATCAAAGAAGAGATGAAATAAAGGAAGAGCATATACTTGCGAGAAAGCATATGGAATAGGCTGACTAATCTTTGTGATGCATATGCATCCAAACGATGAACATGAGGAGCCATATTCGCCAAAGCTGCCAGACAGTTAGTGTGGAGATAAACATCCTGCACGGAAAAAGCTTCCAAAGAAATCAAAACACAAAATAGATCAAGGTATCTACATACATAAAACTTCACAATAGTGTTCTCTGTTTTGGAAATGAAAGGTGAGAAATAACAAGACCATACACTGGGTGGACATGTAACCTCTAATAAAATCAAATGAAAGCTACCAATCAGGCAAGACTTTCCTAAAATAAATATGTTGCTTAAAGTATTAAAACAAAGACTTTATAGCTAAAAGGCCTAAAACCACAACACCATCCCATAACATCTCCAATCTAGGGACATTATAATATGAAAAACAATCATTCCCCAGCAACCAAAGCACCCAGATTTACCATAAATACACATTCTATAGTCAAATAACCAATGTGGCAACTTCTATCAATTACCACTCAATCATTCGTCTACTTTTGCGGTCTATTCACCTAATATTGGTGGAAATAGTTCTAGGGTACTTTGAGGCTAGGGGGTAGTTTCACTATACTCTTTAATTTCTCTCTTTTTGTCTTAAAATCACTGTATTTCTAAACCCATGAATTAGGTAATCTGCCTAGTTTTCTTATTTATAAATAAAAACAAAACACTGCCAAAAAAAACTTCTCTCCTTTTCTCCAGAGACCAATGAGGAAGATCAATGGGTAAACGAAGAATACTTTAGATTTTCTTCATACCAATTACCATCAAATGGGATAAACAATCCCAGACTTTCAGATACCCAGTAAAAGCTATACAGAATAAATAATTTCGACCAAATTCTTCTGCTCGTTTTCCTTCTCACTGACCTCCTCAATATAAAGGCACTTCTGAAATTCTTAACTCCCTCAACTCTAATTAAGTCACTAGCTTCCAAATAAGCTAATCATAACCATCTAATATTACCCCTCCCCCTAGGCTGGTCTATTTCATTTTGATGTTATGACTACCACTATTGATGTAACCTTCAAATATACATGTACTTGTTTGTTCTTAATTTCAAATTTAGGCACAGTGATCTAGAACAATGCACAAAAATGAGCTTAGGTAATGTTTAAAAAGCCGAATTGATTTCAAATGCTTAATTTCAATTCTTTAATTTGTAATCCTAACATTAAATACCAATTATATGGTTTGGGAAGAAGTAGGAATTCAATATCCAAACTACATCATGATGTTTAGTTAATGAGTGGAATTACAATAATAAATTACACTTTCAAATTTTAATAATAATTATTAAAAAAAATAGAAAATTAATTCTATTACTCCTTTTTTGTTTTTATGTATAAAGGGTTTTTTTTTTTATAACACATTAGCATTTATGACATTAAAACGACTATGAGTGCTTTTTTGTTGATTCACGGTACTCATAAGTTCGACAAAATTAACCCTAAATCTATTATAAAAAAAATTGATTTGGAATTTTTAAATGGAGTGGTTTTTGTTGAAGATTGAAGACCATAATGATTGATTTGTAGAAAATTTCAATAATGTTATAAAATTTTAAAAATGGAGATTTCTGCTGGCTTTTTGGTTAGAGAGAGTGGTTTTTACTAGTCTTTTTAGGATGGGATGAGAGTTCATAAGAACATGAGAGTAAATGAGTGTTTATCAGAATTAAAATGCATGGGTTGATGTGGAATTTCAATTTCTATGTCTTGGCCTTAAATCAAATGTCATGGGAATTGGCCCAAATCCAATTTTGAATTCTTTAGATTCTGAACAAGCAATTTCAGCCACATTCTGATAAATTTAATAATCCAAATAAGGCTATTATAGTAATTAAAAACACAGTTAAAAAGTCTTCTAGTTTCACTTGTTGTCATCATGAATGATACTTTCTCATTACGCATCTACGTTTCATATTAATCGCTAAACTTACACACTTGGAAAGGGGCCACTATTAATATATGCTCCACTAACTCCACTACATATTATAAACTTCACTCTCATTTTTTTATAATGTGAAATTTGCTCCACTTTTAATTATTAAATTCAACTCTCCTTTAACCCACAATATCTGTCAATATATCCTCCCAATGTTTACACTTAATATATAATATAAAATCCCACTCCATTACGCCCACTCTACATTTTCTTAAACTATATGCCCAACTTAGTGTAGCAATTAATACAAATAGAGAGAGTATCATACATAGACAAACACGTTTCTAGGTCTCCCTACTAATATAAAAAATAAAGATAAAAATAAAAAGCTAAAGCCCAACTGTCTCAATACAA